CAGGAACGGGAGGTCCAGAAACTGAAACAATTGATTTTGGATGAGAAGAACAAATACGACGAACTGCTCATTAAATCCAAGAAAGATAGAGACGAAGAGATGAAAGCAATGAAATCAGAAATTGCGGCCAAATGTCAGGTGAACTTCAATGAAGCTCTCAATAAGTTGTCAAATGAAAGAGAACTTTTAGCTCAAGAATTGGCCGTAAAAGACAGCTGTATTCAGGCGTCTATTTCTGCTATAAATGATATTATTTCTAAATTAAATGGTTTGCAAAAAAGTGATACAATTGAGACACAAGGAAATGAAATGTTGGTTCAAATTGAAAGCGAATTAAAGTCATTAACCAATTGTTTTGACCAAAAGCTCAACGAATCAGTGATTTGTGATACAAGGCCTCAATGTTCCTGCAATTTAGCTAATGTAAGCTCTCAATTACTTGATGTGACTGAAATCAGTCATCTTTTAACAACTATTTAATCTTAATATTAGGTCATCAAAGAGAAAGAGTTAGAAATCAGTCGATTAAACAGAATTTTGCGGGATTCTGATATGTCTCAGTCCTCATCAGCCATTGGCCGCATTGAAAGGGTATCTGTTTTAGGGTAAATATTTTGATTTATATTTTCCCTTTCAATTAAACTATTGTTTAATTTCCAAACTAAACCTAAATCTATGTTTGTATTATTGAATGCAATTGTAATGTTAGTTGAGATTATACTAATTTGTTGTAACAGCACATCATTTCAAAGTTAATTCTTATAATCACTTGTGTCAAGTCGTTTGTGTCCAATATTAGTCTGTATTTGAATATTATTTTCACAAATTATTACATTTAATCTCAAAGTTGTGAAGTCGGAGATATTGTACTCATCTATTACGAAGAAAAGTTCAATAACTATATTGTCTTCACACTTAATAATGTCCTCCATTTCGTACACACCGACTGCTTGGATGCGCTCTCTTTGAAATCAGGTAATTATTTACTCATATACTAAAGTAATGATAATTTTAACATTTTATTACCGTTTTTTCGGGATTATAATTGCATGAAATTCTAAAAAATTCTAAGTAATTTTTAGTAAAATAATTTTTCAGAATTGTATGGAACTATAGATACAAATATAATTATATATTGCATCCATACAAATATAATTGCACCCTTCACTAAAATTAACATAGTATTGCATGCAATTGTATCTAAATTTTACGATAATTCCGATACTCGGTTTTGGGTTTAATGATATGATTGATAACATAAATTATTTATTATAAGAAGTGTGAATTTTGTAGTTAATTTATTTTATAGATTACAAATATAAAAATTTATTCAACTTAGCAATTATGCAATAATGACTTATAATTGCATGAAACTATAAGCCAGAGAAAACGGTAATACTTTTTAATTTACTTGATATTACATTTGAGTTTAAAACAACAAGATTTAAAAATATACAAATATAAGTAACAAACAATTTGTATAATAAATGGTTATACGGGAGGGTTGAGAGGTTGGGATGCTTTTTGTTTCATCAATAATAAGAGACAATTGAAAGCAATCTTATGTTAACAAAAAATGATTTCTAAAAATATAGGCAAATATTGCTATAATGTTAAATGTTGTAAAAACGTGTCCTTTAGTTAACGACTTGCGTTCAGCCCATACACAAAGATTACACCAAATATTTAAACTAAATTCCTATCAATTCTTATAACGATTGTTGCGATTCTTTAACCCAACTATTATTGTCTTTGTTTTGCTCATCAATTCAATGAATTGACAAAATGGGATGAAATG